GCTACTAGGGGGCTCCTGGCCTTACTACTAGGAGCAAGGACGCTACTTACTACTAGGAGCAAGGACGCTACTAGGGGCTCTTGGGCGTAGTACTAGGAGCAAGAAGCTACTAGGAGCAAAGGCTTCACGTTCCTGGTTTGGGACTTGCAACCAATGTGACCACATCGGAGCCACTCATAGCGCGGCTTGGGGGGGTTCCACCATGCGGGTCGCTTTGACCATGTGGGTCCCAAAAACTTCTCCTGGTGCCAGGCCACAATATTGCGATCAGATGGCCGTTGCCTATACCGTCTCTCATTTCGGCGTTGGTGGCAGCCAGGAATGCAGGCAACACTACTTTGGGAGACTCCATGCTTATGCCACATGCGGTGGCTTGTGTGAAAGGCATACAGCAGCTCAAGAGATCTGGGGTAAGGGCTGTAAGGATCATCCAAGATATCATGAGGTGCTTCTGAACTGGCACAACTCTTGATTTTTCCAGATCAGCTGGTAGGACGGCCATCCGCACTGGCCACGTCTGGATTGAGGACTGACATGTAATTCGCCTCAACGTTGCTTTGAGGATGATATCATGATGCTTGGCGTCGACCATTCTTGACTTTTTTGCGGGCAGACAGGGGTGCTCGGCACTGAGCCCAGAACGTACCTCAGTCTTTGGCAGACACTGCCTGTGCAGCCTATTTTGGTTCAACTTATCTCACCAAACTCACTGGCGCTGCTGCCCTGCCAGCAGGACGGTGGTTGAGGCACGGTGGTTGGGATGCAGATGGATGGAGCAGTGAAGTTTTGGTGTTTTTATGCTCAAAACCTAACTACACTGCTCAAAGTAAATCCGGCTACAGGTCTGAAACTTTGGGCACACCCCCTCTCACAGGCCAACGTTTTCTCACTTGGCTTGGTCGATAGGCATGTTGCCAAGCCTGCAGGCATGTCAGATGCCAAGACCAAAGCCGCTGCTTTCCTGGCAGTGACTCTGCAGCGAGCTTGCCACAATTCCTTCATTGAGTTGGGGAGCCTCAGAACAGTTCTTGAAGGATATGCAGGCTAAGAACTCAACTCTCTCCAAGCATTCCAATCCCTGACGAAGAAGTCAAAGCGGGCTCCTCATGGGTCGTGGCCCGGGCGTGGCCCCGAGGTGGGCCAAGGGTGACAATGAACATGCCAAGTATACCGTGTCAAGCGTGATCTTTGTTGCGCAAGTAGCAAAGCCGGCGAAGTTTGGATGTCTATTTTCTCGAGTTCCCCAAGTTGTTTGGGAGTTCTCATGAGCCGATCACCAACGGGAGAAAACAAGCTTGCTTGATCGCCAGGTTTGCGTCTTGCTTGGCTGGGTTTTGGCTCACAGCTCAGGGGGTTCCTCTGAGTTGAAGAAATGCTTTGATGCAGGGATGCCCAGCTAACTGTTCTCATGAGAGAGAGAGAGAGATAGAGCCACCAATTGCAAAAGCGCCAACTGCATTTCACATAGACAATGATGCCTTTAGCATTGCTAAAACAAAGAACTCCATTGTCTCAGCATTGTCTCAGTTCAAACATGCTCCTACATCTCTACGATTCTCTATGCATCCTCATCATTGTGTGACTGATTTGTTCAAGGTTGGAAACCTTTCGACATTTGCGCATATTGGCTTGATCTATGCGCTGGGGGACATCTTTGAGATGGAGTCTGTGAACTACATTGACTCATCTACATACACCGTGCTATCCCAGTCGAAGCTTGTATTTATATAGGATACTGTAAAATATCAAGCAAGTATCAACATATGTCAAACATGCAACCGAGTTGAAGAACCGAGGTAAAACAGATCCCGGGTGCGGAGGGATAGAAGGACTTGTGTGGATCTGCAGAGTTTCTGGTGGCAGGTACCAATCGGTTCAATCGGTCAAACTGACGCGAGAATGGAATTGAAGGATAGGGGTTTCTTCCTTTTGCCTTCAGCAAACCGAACAAAGGAAGCTAATCATCACCGCCACCATGATTTGGGTGATGGAAGGGAAAGCCCAGAGCCTTATGCAATGGTTCATCCTTTTCACGACTTCGTCTGGTATGCTTGAGTATGTCTTGGTTGGCAAAGCAAAGGGAGGTGCATCGAGCCGTCGTTCTTACCTCTTTTGTTGTTTGTTCTTAAGGTTTTTGGCCGTTCATGAGCCTATTGCCTTGCAGTTGCGCGGATGAGTCAATTGTTATGTTTGCAACGTTGGATTTGTCTTCTTGCTTATGCTGAAGCTTCCTCAAGACTTCAGCGACAGTGTTTTCGAATGCAACTTTGTGCATCCTTTAAAACCATGAATTTGTGCAAGGTTCCATGACCTTCAGTCCCTTTGGCGTTGGCCTCGCTCTCACGAAGGTAGCCATCAGCTGCTATGTAGCAGTATTGAATTCTGCAGCGCTGCAGAAAGACAAGAACACCTTCCCTGTGCAGTTCTCCTGCTTAAAGGCCAGGAGAGCAAACTGGGTGCAGACTGGAAGACCTGTGAACCTGTGCTTTGTTTGCCCCCATGTGCCGCCGAAAGCATCCTCGTTCGCCCTCATAAACAGCTCGAAAAATGCGCTCCATGCGCTCATGTTTCGTGCCGGGTTTACCGGTCTGAACACCAGGTCTCCTGGGCCGCGGCCAGCTTGGTTTATATGGTCGTCAAGGATGGCCTGTTGGGAGATGGGGACATGTTTGGAGAGTGGACACATCGCACGGTGGTTCTGGTCTTCTGTGGCTTTATTCTCAAGACGCTCTTCAACCAGTACCTCTTGAAGGTGTTGGATGCGATTTGGAAGAACATTAGCGAGGCAGTGGGTGTCATCTTGGTGTACTTTGGAAGGGTGGTCTTCCTGGGAGCTTCCTTCAGTGGACCAGTCTTCAATGCTGGCATTACAGTGGTTCTGGCTTGCATTGCTTACGTTCTTTCCAAGGAGGGAGGTAAAGCCAAGAAGAGTGATATTGGGGATGAGTTGAATCCAAATATCTATCCGGACCTTTCGGCGAGCCTGCTGCGGCACAGGTCACGGCCGTGAGAGAGACGCTCGTTTCGCTCGCTGCCATGCGAGAGAAGCTGCTAATGTTCGGAAAAGGGGGCGCCAACTTGTGGGGAGTCCAAGGGGCGAACCTTCTGTGACCCTACGGGCATGAATTCCACGGCTATGGACAGAGTACAGAAGTTTATGAGAACGCTACAACTGCCACTGAGTGAGCTGAAAGATGATACGCATGTGATTGATGCGTATATACAGATACACACATACACACAAATGATATGTAGCGCTACCCCCCCCACAAAGATCCCGGAAGATGACGAACCAGCAGCTCGTTGCCGTGTCGGAACGTCCTCTCCTTAAGCGTTCCGGGACCAGGAACGCTTTCAGAAGGGCGACTTCGAGTCTGTAGCCCTCAGATTCGGACTTTCCAACACCAGTGAGGACCCCAGAGGGCCCACCAGGCTTGGAGGAAGTGGCCCTCAGGACACTTTGAAGCATTTCACATGGATGGCCATGGACACCGCGCTGTGAGATGTGTTTTGACTGACGCTGCCTTTTTGCCAATCGGTTGATCCTTGTTTGAGGCCTAGACACTTTGGATCAACGAGTTGCATTTGCATCGACAGGTGCTACCCACGGCGCGCGCTCAAGCAGTGCACACCACTTGGGAGAGTAGCAGGTCAGTTCGCGTCAATTGCAAGTTGTGCTCGTGCAGGTGTGGCAAATTTTCCTGCTCAGGAGTCGCTGCTTGCAAGCAATGCAGAAGGATCAACTATTTTCCCTCATGCCCTGCCAAGCATTTGTTTCACTTCCATAGTTGCACTTCCAGCTCAGTTAGATCTCGCTTCCAAAGAGGCTAGATTACTGTATTCAGTTTGACAGATTCTTTGCCATAAACAAAAGAATCAGGGAAGGAATAACAATTAAGGCAGGAGAGCATGAAGGCAGTGAGCAAGGAAGGAAGATCGCCAGAGAGCATTAGAATTAAGCGGGCAAGAAAGAATAAACAAATGCAGCTGCTTTTGTAAGACTGCCCCACTCACATAAATTGAATTGTTTGCATGGCATTGACACCTTTCTTCTTTTGCAGACGAGGCAGAGAAGGAAACTTGGAAGGCTTCACAGAACTGTTATTTTGGTCCTCAGTTTGTTCTGTGACGTTGATTGTTGCCATGGAAAGGGCTCCCCCTCATGCGTTTCTGTCCCTTTTCGATGCCCATCTGGAATGGACAGACCCGCCTGTCAGGCTCCAGGTAAGCCCGAATGTGCCAAATTGAAACAGCTGAGAAAGAGAGAAAGAGAGAACGAGAGAAAGAGCATGCAGACCAGAAGAACCAACCACATAAACAATGCCTCGGAATCAGCTTCAACTGCGAGGAGAACGATCCATTGTGCTCCGAAGCTGCCTGCAACATTGCAAAGGTCGGGCAATCTGTGATGCAAAGGTTTGGCAAGAAACAAGTCCACGAATGAGACAAGCCCTTCCGCTACAGACTCCAAGAGGGTTTTCTCAATTAGGGCATCAATTTCTCACTTTCAGAGCTGACAAGAGGCTTTCATTGAATAGACGAGTTGTGAGCATAATCCGAATGACACTGGCCCATACTGGTGGTACAAGTGAATGAAAAGGACCTTTTCCTCCAGCAGTGAAGGTGTGCGAAGTCATGACCAACAGCTCTCTGGGTGACGAGGCAGGAAGCTCCGTTGGAGTCGGAAGAAGTCCGTTGGCATCGCCGTCGCATCGCATCAAGTGCTATTTCCACGTCGTCAGACCACTGGGTACTTACTACTAGTACTAATAGCTTCTTGTTACTACTAGTAAGGCACTTGTTATTCGTTGCTCTTCAGTTGTAATTATCCTATACTGCTTTGACGTGACTTATATATTTCACATATTTACTGTAGCTTAAGTTATTTGTAAGCCCTGACTGCTGTGCCATTGATGATGTACCAATGACCTGGAGTAGCCCTGTCAATGCCACTTGAGTAGACCACAACATGGATGGTCTCAGCGAGTGGAGCAAGAGATTCATGGACGAAAAGCACCACATGCCCCGCATCGACCAGTTGGTGCTTTCGTTCAATTCAGCATCGACCCAACTCCAGGTCCAGCGTTTGGTGACCCTGCGGGATCTACAGGGCATTGAAGACTTGCCACCACGCGGACAAACGCAGGCACGACGTGGCACGACGCATTTTCGGCTGTTTTTTTGCGCGAGACTGGTGAGTTGGAGCGGTGGATTACATTGAAGCTGATGCGGCCTGTACGATTCCGCTGGTGTTTGGGAAGTCTTTCAGGTGCAGCTGCTAGCTGGCCAATTCCGTGGTCCCTGGAGGAGAGAGACAGGGGTTGAACGGGTGAAATCAGGATGGCAGTGTGGATGATGCTGCTTTATTGAAGGCACCGGCCTGAAGATGTTTGGGCCAGGGTGAGTGTCACCTGCTATTTCACCTTGCTTCTTCAATGTAGGGCTTGGGGAATGTGAGACCCATTTGTTCAGGTGCTATTCCCGTGTTTGTCCTGAGTCCGCCGTGCATTCACTTTTGTGTGACTGGTTGTCCAGTTCTTTCATTGACGGGAATTTGTTCGCATTGCAGCTCTGACTTTGAGATTTGCGCAAATCACGTCCCTAATGATCCCTAATGTATATTTGATATTGAGATCTCAGCTCTGATTGTAATCTTCCATGTGCAGACTGACAGAGATCATCTCGCTTCAGGGGTCTTTTCGAAAGCCAGGCAAACTCTGCGAAACGCAAAAAACGTGGCGAAACTCGAAGTGCAGGCATTCCATGCCGGGGATTTTGCCACAAGTGGGCACTGAACTTCCTGACTTTTGGTCCTCAGCTTAGTGCCCGGAGGTTCAGAGTCTGGTCTTCATCATCTTAAAATACTGTATGTTGTACCACATATATATATATATATATGGTGGAAGTGGGGTTTGCTCTATTGACCGCAATGTGTTTCTCCCGTTGACGAAAGACATTTTCTACCACTCTTTATGAATATGTTATGTTATTTTTTTCCCCTAGAAACCAATATATATTTGTATATCAATCCTGAAGTACATACTTAAGGACCGTTATACGTATATATAGAGCATGTATGTACAGAAGTGCTTGTGCCCTGTTGCACCTGTAGTGGTCTGGTGGTCTGATGTGACACGTTGAGGTTTTATCAGACCTGCAAGGAGTTTGGTTTCTATCAGACTTGTGAGGCTGGGGACATCCATACGATGTTACAAGCTGTAGGGCCTGGTTTTGTGTTGTTGCACACATTGAAGTACTTTGATCCTCCCAAGGACGATTGCATGTTCGTGCGTGGTCTTGCAAATGCTAGCTACATGGCAAGCGGATGTGGCCTGCTTGCATACCAGCGCCAGTCTCCAAAGAAGTAGTTTGAACTGCCACGGAGTCTACTTGTGGTCAAAGCAAAAACAATGGCAGTCATGGCCGTGGCTGAAGGCATGAAGCTCTTCAACATCACGATTGAGGCCAAGCAGCTTTAACTGGAGCAACGAATCGAAACGTGCCAGTGAGAGTGTTCGATACTGGGAACCCCCTGCGGTTTGACGCGTTTTCAGAGATATGGTATGGTGTTCCTTAGAATGGCCTAAAGCCTCTCCACAAGGTTCAGTGCCTGTGTCTTGCGATACATTGCAGCTGTTTCAGGCTGTTTTAGGGATGAAACCCTTCTGGCATTACGCCTCAAGCACCTTTGTTTGATACCATGTCACTTCTGGCTCTTCCTTGCAGGATGTGCAATCCAACATTGATTCAACCAACTTTCACTATGGCGGCCTCTTACCGCATGAGCCTAAGCGCTTTGGACAGAACGACGACCCGAGTGACGCCTCAAAGCTGGTCAAAGCAACTGAGGTTAGATGACAAAGAACATTTGGGGAGGCCAAAGCTCGACCCAGCTGGTGCTTTTGATCCTTCTTTAACGCTGAAGGTGCGTGATGTTCCCCAACGGTGAGGTTGATCCTTGGAGTACATGCAGTGTCAGTGGCTGAGTGGGTGAAGTGTAAGCAAGAAAAGACAGAGACCTGCTTGACTGTTGCTCCGCCTGCAAGCAATGTCAGGTGCTGCAAGCTCCCAGCCCGGATTTGCCTGTACTGTACGTGTATGGTGTCCGCAGCTTGATGGGTGTTTGCTGTTCACGGCGCGGTTCCCTCCTTGGAGCTCGAGGCTTCTCACCATGCCTGGACGTGGCCAAGCCGGAGTGGGGATCAGGTGACGGTTCGGGTTTCGGATTGCGCCTGGTGTTTTTTGGACCTTGGGTTTTCGGCATCTCCTTTGGCAGGAGAGTGTCATGGCTGCTCGGAGCAAAATCAGGCGTCAGGCGAGAGTTGTCGTTGTGCTTGAATGATTTTCTCATTGAGCTCGCAGGAGGTGCGCATTTTGATTTTCTGTTTTGCAGCCACTTGCAGCCACTTGCAGCCACTTGCAAGTGGCCGCAAGTGGCTGCAAGTGGCTGCAAGTGGCTGCCCACGCAAGTGGCTGCAAGTGGCTGCAAGTGGCTGCCCAAGCAAGTGGCTGACAAGTGGCTG